AACTTTAATTATGTATAATCAATCTAAATGGAAAACACCCTAGCCTTAGGCTGGACAGAGGAATGTGAACTTATTATGATGCAAGTTTATTATAGTGATGACACAAGGAAGATTCGTTGAACCAAGACGAACAAAACCTCTTTTTACCAATCTTTCTTTGCAGAAAGTCAAGATAATGAGGTTGGCGAGATTCTTTCTGCAAGTAGGCTCTCCTTACTTTTTCTCAATCATTTGGATCATTCATCTTTAAAGCAGGATCAGATTGGAGATCATCCGTAATAATCTGAACTTGATGTTTCACTATGGTATCTTCTTGATAGCTAGTTCCCATTTGAATTACTTCTTCATCCAAATTGATCTTCACCTGGGTTTTTTTCTTTCAGACATCCTCTTGAGGAGCAGCTTTGATGATGCAATCAGAGCAAAGTAGGCATCTTTATAAACTTAGGTTAACTTTGATTCAGTTTATTGATGATAGACCACCTTAAAACTTTGGTTAGCCTAGTATAAACACAGATCATGTGTTTTGTCTTTGTTGTTACTTGTTTTGGCATGATTCTCGAAAGAAAGGAGGAGAAGATTTTTTCATAGTAATAGAATTTCACAATTTGAAGGAAAATGATATATTTGTGAACCACGTTGGATCTTCAAATAATGCTCGTGGCTTTGCTTGGCAGAATTGTGTTGATTTCATTAAATAAAGGCAACATATTGGAGTAGTTTTGATGATTCAATCAGAGCAAAGTCAACATCTTTATAGACTTAGGTTAACTGACTCAGTTTATTGAATTTAGTTTTGCTACGTCAAGGTTTATCTTTTCCAGGGCATGATGAATATGATAATTTATTCAATCAAGGTCACTTTATTGAGATTTTGAAAGTTCTTTCTAATCATAATGAAGAAATCAAGAATATTGCTTTACAAAATGTTCCGAAAAACAACCAATTGGCTCCTCTAAATATTCAAAAAAATATTGTTTTTGTTACTACTCGCGAGACTACTTTTGCTATCATCAATAAATTTGGAGATTGATTTTTTTAATTGTAGTTGATGAATCACGTGATAAAGAGAAAATTTGTATTGTTTTGTGTGAGAGACAGTATTGTTGAACGATTTTTAAGAATTGTTCATGTTAGTGATACTTGTGTTTTATCACTCAGATAAGTAAAATCACTACTTTCATTTTCTTGGTTAAGTATGGATAGAATTTAAGGGCGAGGATATGATGGTATAATTAAATGGGGGGTTAGGTTTAAAAAATTAAAAGTTTTATTTTGAATGAGTATTCTCTTGCCTTTTATGCTCACTTCTTTGTACTTCAACTTACTATTGTAACTGTAGCAAAAAATCATATCTTATTGTTTATTCTTTTAATTTGATTGCCATTATTGTAAGAGTTGTTGGAGGATCATGTAAAAGAAAAGATATGTGTCAAGAAAAAAAGATGATTCAAATTAGAAAAGTTTTGGAAAATGGAGATGTTTGTATTAGTCGTGGGTTGACCAAGAGTTTTGTATTTAAAAAACTGGTGATACTCGCTGGGATTCACATTATGGAACATTGAATAGTTTAGTTGTGAGTTTTTCTATAGTTGTTGATATTTTAGAGTATATTGTGGAAGATGGTTATCTAACAGAACAAAAGGCTGTGGATGTTGGCCTGATAAAATCTTTGGAAACATTTGATTTTTCTTTCCCTTTACACTTGATGAAGAATGTTTTCGGATTAACAAATGAACTTTCTTAGCTTTTATAGAGGAAAAATCATAATATTGTCAATGATATGATACAGGTTATAGTGGCCAAAGAATGGTTACAATTGATGAGGGATGATGGTTGGGATGATTTATTAAATGAGTCACAAAGTTTTGCAATTTGCATGATATTGAAGTCTAGGATATGAATGAGAATCGTGTTCTTAAAGTTTGATCAAAACGTAAAATGTCTAGTTGTTACAAATATGCACCACTACAAAAGAAACTTCTCTTATGAAGTTTTGGATAATTAGCTTAAAGAGCTTAATGAATACAGAGTTACTTCTTTGCATGTCTTGTTTAGTTTAGAAAGAAAAATTACTTTGTTTTCCTTCATTCTATCCCCTTGACATTTCACCCAAGGAAATGAATACACTTGATAGCCAGCTAAACTAATTATTATATGGATGTGTGTGATAATGAAAATTTTTCGCACTTCAAGCCAATAGAAGATCTTGCAAGAGAGAAAGTATTGTTAGTGAAAAATTTCTCTCTTTCTCCCTTCCTCAGCCAAAACCCTAGCTCGGCGGACTCCCATCAATAACGGCCATTATGGCCGGAATTTCTCCACCGGTGGCTCCTCCACCACAGACATTCGCCAGTTTCTTCCAAAAACCTCCCGAGGTTGAGGTGAATATAGATTCCCTCATCAAGCAAGTGAAGTTTGTGAATGGAACTCCAACTTTGGAATATGAAGATGATGAATTTGAAAGATTGGTCGCACCACATAGGCTGTGCTTAGTGGGGAAATTCTCCTATGGCCGCCCTAAAATGGAAGAGATCCAAAATAAATTTAAGAAAATTGGTTTTCAAGGTGGGTATACCTTGGGTCTCATGAACCCTAGGCATGTATTGATTCGGTGATCAAGAGAAGATTACCAAAGATGTTAGATTAGAACATTTTGGAATATTGGAGGATATTCCATGAGGATATTGAAGTGGAAACCCGGCTTTAAATTTGAAGAAGACCCCCGATTGTGCCTATTTGGGTTTCCCTCTATGATTTGCGTATTGAATTCATGCATCCGGAAGTCATATTCTCAATGGCAACGGCGCTTGGCAAGCCCTTGAAGGTTGATGCGCCTACTTTGAATATGACAAGGCCATCGGTTGCGAGATTCTGTGTTGAGATCGATCTCACTAAGGAGCTTCCAAAGTCAGTGAAGATAGGGAAAAAAGGGCGAAAACATGAACCAGTTTTCACTTTTGAACATGTTCCATCCTATTTGATGAGAATCATGTAGCCTTCCATGGTGATTCTCCTAGTGAGGGGAATGAACTAGTCGTTCATTCTAATTTTGGAATGCCAAGTTTACTTTGCAGGCCAATCAAGGAAGAAATGATGGATCTTGACTACCTATGTGATAAGGAGTTGGTTCAAGAGAGCTATGATCAAGATGATGAGAATGTCATTAACTTTGGGGTTCAAACCAAGGGAGATGATGACCTCATGGAAATAAGTGCTGAAGAGTATCAAGAGAGTTTGACTTTGTATGCTCCATGAAGATCATTGATCAAGCTAGTAAGAAGAGTCATTTAGGTTCTTGAATGGATGGCCTATTTGATCAAAGTGTTCAAGATTGAGTCATTGCTACACAATTGGTTAGGTTGCAAACTATCTTAATTGTTTCAAGTGTTTTTCCAATCCTTTGGAGTCAATAAAGAGAATTCTACAAGTTTTGGAGTAAATTGGAGTTTTCTATAACTTAAGGGGTGCAAGACCAATATTCCACTTTGGAAGGGCGTTCAAGACATTTTACTTCAATAATTTAGAGCTGATTTTCGAGAATTAGAGTTAGAGTAAGTCTAGGAGTTATTTTTGAAATTTTATCTAGTTAGATAAGCCATGTGGGCTGAATAAAACTAGAGTGTTTTGATTAGGAGTCTTAGTTTCCTTCTAGATATTATCCTACTTGAGGATAAGTCATTTAGATAAGGTTTCTTAGATTTTAGATAGAGTCAAAGAGATCAAATACTCTTCTACTTCTACTCCTTGTGAGATAAGATTAGAGAGTCCTAATTGATCTTCTTCTTTAGGTGCTGGCCGAATTTCTAAGGCTATAAATAGGGGGCTTGGCCGAAAATCAAAAGCACCCTTGAGTGGTCATTTTTGTTGTCTCTTTTGAGAGTTTTTCCTGTGAGGAATTTTTGTTAAATGGAGTGTCCATTTTTCGTGTCAAGTATGATTTAACCAAGAGGGTTTTCATCTTGTCTTGGATCTTTTTGATCTTGCAGAACCATTCTTTTTCAAGTATGCTTCTTGATAGAATTTTTTTAAAACAAAACTTCTTATTTTCATGCTACTTCTAGTAGTTCGATTGATGAGCCTTTCTTTTGGCTTGGTGTTCGAATTTCATGATGAGTGTGTTCATGAGTTCCATTGTGGGGTTTGTCCTACTTTTGTTGGATGAGTTGTGCTTTGGCATAAACACTTTGAGATAGTGTATGTGTTGCATATCTTTGGTTGGTTATGACGATTACTAATCAATAGTATTCCTTCATAGTTGAGCATTGTTTGCTCCTACCTTTCTTGAGTCTCTTGAATGATGACTAATCGAGTATATTGAATGGTGTCCTTGCTATTCTTAGCGTGGGTTGTAGTTTAATTCGAATCTTTCATGGATAATGTGTTCTTTGCTTGGTTTGAGTTAAGGGATAGAATCACTTAGATAAACGATCATTTTACTGTGAATTTTCCGCACTCTTTTGAGTTTCACGGGATAGACAAATTATCTTTGTACTTTCTTGTTGATGGTTGCATTAACGAAATTTACTTCATCTACGAGATTGCTATCACTATTGCTTGAAGTGCTGCAAGATAGGCCATAAGGAGGAGGATTGTCGGCAAGGAAAACTTCCACCGAAAAAGCAAGAAGAAGGGATGAAAATGGTTGAGCCAGCCCCAAAGAAGAAAGGTCTTAAATTGGCCGCCGCAATGCCGAAGTGGCTGTTTAAGGGTGATCGTGAAAAGTCGGCAGGCCAAAGTTTGAAGGTACAAATATTGAATAACAATCCTCTGATTGTCAAGGCAACTGAGAGTCAACCTATTGTTTTGAAAAGGCCGACGTTGATAGAGCCTAAAGTTGAGTCGCAGGTAGCAGCAAATGGAACCCTAGATGAGTCGCACCCCCTGCGGATAGAATTGATGCGGAAGGAACCCTAGCTGCGTCGCACCCCCCTGCGCAAATTCCATCTGCTGAAATTGCTAAATTGCGATGTCATGAGTTGACGTCCGGTTTATCAGCGATGGAGAAGAGTTCCATTCTAGTGGATATCCCAGCAGCAGTGACTCCGATATCCGCATCAAACCGATTGGCGGTTTTGGAAATGATTGAAGAAGAAGACGAACTTGTTGTGGTTGATGAAGACGAACATGTTGAAAATGTTTTCATTGAGGAATTGCCCCCTCCACAACCCAGAATACAACAACAATTAATCCTGCCAGAGATAGGCAGTGGGGTTTACTCGCCGATTGATCGATCTCAGGACGATGGAGATGTTGGTAGGACCTCGGGTGCTACTGAATTAGAAGCTAGTGCGTGTGGTAGCTCGTCAGACGGGTATACTGATGATGCTCTGGTACTTGATTTGATGCAAGGGGAAGAATCGGTACCCAAAAAGCGTTGGCGTAAATCCAAAGTCGAAAGGGCGTTGTTGCAAGATGGGGTTATCCCACGGCGCTCGTCGCTTCTCCAAGAATAAGTCTCGGTTACCCTCTCTTTTAATAATTTCCATGATTAGTCAACTAATATGTAATATTAGAGGTGTTAAAAATCAAGCGTCACTAAGACACTTAAAGCTTTTGAATATGATGAATAAGGTTTCGGTTCTATTCATTCTAGAGCCTATGTTTCCTAGTTATCAGATTGATAGTGTTCGGAGCAATTTGGGTTTTGAAATAGCTTTCTCTTTGGCAACAATTAAAATCTGGGTATTTTGTAAAAATGGCTTGTCATTACGATTGTTGGAAAGTAGTGATCAAGTTCTCCACTTTGAGGCTATGCATGGTGCGGTTCCACTGAAGTTTTTACTCTCCGTGGTATATGCAAAATCCTCTAGGAATAGAAGATGGCTTCTATGGCAGAATATGGTGGACTTTAGATTGATGTATTCAGCTGCTCCTTGGATGATTGGAGGTGACTTTAACGTTATACGAACTTTGGATGAGTATTCTGGGAATTCGGTTCAAGACCCGGTGGCTATGATTGAATTTAATGAGTGCATTCTTGAATGTGATCTTCTTGAATTGCCGGCTGTAGGAGAGGTATTTACATGAGGTGGAACACGACATACAGGCTGGGTGAGCAAGAGGCTTGATAGAGTTTTAATCTCGCAAGAATGGAGTGATTTGTTTCCATGTTTTTCTTTGGAGAATATAAGCAAAACAACTTCGGATCATTGCCCTATGCTTCATAAGTTTGACATCAATATTGATAGCAAGCCAGAGATCTTTCACTTTCAAAAAATGTGGCTGAGAAGATCTGATTCTAAGGAGGTAGTGAAGGAGAGTTGGGAGCAGGCATTTGGGCTTTCAGGTATGCTTGGGTTTGCTTTAAAACTTAAGCGCTTGAAGGAGAAATTGAAAGTTTGGAATAAGAAGACCTTTGGGGACATTTTTGCCAACTTGAGAGATGCTGAAAATAAAGTTCAATAGCTGGAAAATGATTTTGATACCTCTGGCCAAGAACAAGATATAGTGTGCTTGCATGTTGTCAAAGCGGAGTTGCTGCTTCGATTAAAGGAGCATGATGATTTTTTATCACAAAAGATGAAATTGAAATGGATGAAAGAAGGGGATTCCAATACCTCTTTTTTTCATGCCTCATTGAAGGAGAGGAGATTAAAGCAGGGCTTACTCAAAATTCAAACGCCGGATGGGTTAATGTTAGAGAATATGGCAGACATTGAACAAGAAGCAGTGAGATTTTTTAAGGATCTTTTGAATGATGAAGTGGATTCTCTCCATTGTGAGACCAAGCAAGCTGGTTTCCTTGGGAATATTCTTCATTTGCTGGACGCTAATGATGGGGAGGCTTTGCTCAGACCGATTGTCATGGAGGAAATAAAGAGGGCTGTTTTTGGATTGAATGAAGATAGTGCGCCGGGTGTTGATGGTTTTGGAGGCTACTTTTATAGGAGTTGCTGGGACATTATCTCCAAGGATCTATGGATTGTGTGCCAAGAATTCATGTTGGGGGTTCCCATTCCTAGATCTATTTCTAGTACGCTAATCACTCTTATTCCTAAGAAGATCAGTGTTACAAGTTTTTTGGATTACAGGCCCATAAGTTTGTGTACCTTTCTAAATAAAATTCTGACCAAGGTTCTTACTGAAAGATTAAAGATTGTCTTGCCTAAAATCATTTCAGAAGAACAGTCCGCTTTTTTTGGAGGGGAGAGATATCATGGACAATGTACTTTTGGCTCAGGACCTTTGTCAATTCTTGGGAAGAAAGGCGCAAGGGGGGAATTTTGTTTTGAAGCTTGATATGATGAAAGCCTTTGACCGCATCAAATGGAGTTTTTTGGAGAAGGTTTTATCCAAGTTTGGTTTCCCGCAGCACTTTGTATCATTGATTATGGCCAAGCTTCGAAGAAGTTGGTTTTCGGTCCTTATCAATGGAGCGCCGATGGGTTATTTCCAATCTTCAAGGGGCATTAAACAAGGGGATCTCTTGTCTCCTTACCTCTTCATCATTGTTTCTGAAGCTATGACAAGGAGTTTGAAATCTCTAGTGGCGAATGGGAAGGTAGTGCATTATGGAACGCCTTGTGGTTCAAAGCCGGTTTCACATCTTGCTTTTGCTGATGATGTAATTATCTTCTCTAGCGGGCTGAAGCGATCATTGGAAGTGCTAAATGGGTTCTTTATTGATTATGAGAATGCTTCGGGTCAGAAAATTAGTCGCCAAAAGAGTACATTTATGGTTTCAGAGAATTGTTGTGCAAGGAAAGTCGCCCAAATTCAGCAAATCTTAAGGATTCAAAAAGGAGCTTCTCTTTTTACTTATCTTGGATGCAGGCTCTATCAAGGTAGGTGGAAATCCTCTACTTTTCAGTTCTTCTTGGATGGCATTGATAAGCGTCTTTTGAGTTGGAAGAACAAGTTATTGAGTCAAGGTGGCCGTTTGATTCTTATTAAGCATGTGCTATCTTTCATTCCGGTGCATGTTTTCTCGGCTATTCTTCCGCCAAAATCTGTCATAAAAAACATAGAAAAATGGTGTCAGAAGTTCTTTTGGGCTGGTACAAGTGAAGAAAAGAGGAGACATTGGCGGTCATGGGAGCAACTTACTTTTCGGGTCCAAGAGAATGGTTTAGGTATCCGTGATTTTCAGGGTTCATTGATGATCTAACGATTAAGTTATGGTGGAAATTGAAGCAACAGAGAGGAGTTTGGAGCAAGTTTATTCATTCTTTGTCCTTGGCAGCAAAGAAAAAAACTTCTTGGAGTCGTGTTTCAAAACTTGGAGCTCGGGTTGTGCAGCATACAAAGGTTGTCATCCGGCGAGGGAATAGGTCTTTTTGGTTTGAAAATTGGTCCCCTTTTGGTATCCTTTGGGGGGAAGAAATTACTCAGCTGCCTTATCCAGGCCTGAGTATACCGGAGTTTTTTCCAGAATAGACAATCTTTGATCCCTGAATTACAAGGTTCTCTCGGCAGCAACATAAATGACTTTCTTGCGACGCACATCCAAGACTTTTTGGATGATAATGAGAATAATGGTGATTTGCTGGTATGGAATCATACTTCTATTGGAGATCTTACGGTGAAATCGACTTATGATGTGATCCGGCCAAGGAGGCAATCGGAAGGATGGGCACATAATGTTTGGAATCCTTTTACTCCTTTGCGAGTTTCAATTTTCTTATGGAAGTTGCACAATAGATTAGTGCCATTTCCGGAGGTGCTAGACCGAATGGGTATTAATGTGTATCCAACAATTTGTCTTGTTTGTAGGAATGGTGGGGATGGTCTTTTCCACTGCTTCTATGGTTGTGTTTTGCATTGCAGGTGTGGCACCATTTTTCAGCAATTGTTGGAGTTAATATACTTGGGGTCTCTTCGTTGGCAGCCATGTTTGATAGATGGTGGAATGGAGGGGATTTTAAAACAGCTTATGGAGCAATGAGGAATCTTATACCATCCCTTACTACTTGGGGAATCTGGAAGTGTCGAAATAAGGTGACTTTTGAGGGTATTGCCCCCAATTTGGCCAAGGTAATTCGAACCATTGTGGATCAGATTCGTTCCTTGATGATGATTCATGATCTTAAGATTAGAAATGAGTCTGAAAAATCATTTTTTCTATCCACTTTTAATGTTCATCTATACCGAATGCTTCGGCCTAGGGTAGTGGAAGTGAAGTGGATTCCTCCTCCGGTAAATTCTTTTATCCTTAACACTGATGGTTCTTCAGTCGGAATGAGGCAGGTTATGGGTTTGTAATCAGAGGCGCAGGGGGCTCTTTTATTTATAGGGAGAATGGCTATCTTGGTGATGGCGATAGTTTCATGGCAGAGGTGTACGGGATACTATTCGGTCTTTGCAAGTGTGAGCAGCTTGGTTTATCAAATGTTGTTGTTCAGATGGATAATAAATCATTGGCGGATTCTTTAGTGAGGGCCTCTATTTTTCCATGGAAATATTTGTTGTAGCTGCAAGAGATATGTGCATCTTTGCAAAGGAACGCTTTTACTATCACTCATATATACAGGAAAGCTAAAGCAGTCACGGATATGATCAAGAAAAAGGCATCTTCCAGCTCTTCAGATGTTTACATTTCTTTAGATGCTTTGCCGAAATATGTAAAAGGATTATTGATTCTTGATCAGTCATCCTTCCCATACTTTAGATCTCGAATCTTGTGATGTACCTGCAGCTTTTGATTTAACTATTAATAAATAAATGGGAGGGAAGGAGCTAGGGAACTAGATGGTATTCATGTCTATCCCTTGGGTAGATCCCTTGGGTGCGTGGTATCATCTAGCACTGGTTGATGCAGGGAATAGCTCTTGGGTAGACCCCTTGTAGTATTTTCTGTGTTAATTGGGACCTAAATTCCTTTTCATCCTTTCTTTCTTTTGCTAAAAAAAAAAAAAGATCTTGCAAGAGAATTGGTGAAGAAAAAAAAAGATATTATATTTCAACTTGTGTATAGACTTATTAAATTTGCACTTGTTTTGCCCATGGCTATTGCAAGAGTTGAAAGAGCATTTTCTGTTATGAAGATTGTAAAAAGCCGGCTTCGAAACTGAATGAGAGATCGATGGATAAATGATTGTCTAGTAACGTACATAGAAAAATTGAATGGGAGATCGATCAATGCAAGCCGGCTTTTATATGAATTTTGTCTATTATAATAGATGCAAGAATCTATTTAATTTTTCGTTTTATTTTACACCAGAATCATCATGGGATTTTTAGAAGAAACCTTTGTGAGATGCTTCTTAATTTGGCCTTGCGTCAGAACTGTCATGAAATTTCTAGAAAAATTTATGAGATAGTTCTTTCTTTTTGGTTAGTCTTAAGCACGTCAAGTACTACCTTGGATTCCCTTCAAAAAAAAGGAAAAAGTTAAAACGGAATTAAAATAAGAGATGATAATTTTAATTATGAGACTTTAATTAATTTCAAAATATATATATCTTTTTTTCTAGTTTAGAACATTAGAAAAAGTTGGCACATAAAAACGAACACAAGAGAAGAGTGTACCACCACAAAGATTTAGGAGGATTAGATTGCCACTATGATGTCATAATAAATACTAAGTTTTTAGTTTTCAACTAAAATTACATGGTAAACTTTGAGTCTTCAATCAAATTTCAGCAAATCTAGCACTTCGTACAAGTGCACCTTAAATTTTTGATCCAGTGTAATTACGGGCACCATTGGCAATGCTCGTAGACATTCCAGTAGCACAAGAACAAATAAACTCCCACAATGTGGCAATAAACATATAAATGATTGAAACATTAAAATACATATTTTAGCACGACCTATATTCTGTTTTGATATTAGTATGATAAGAAAGAGTGAACTGTAACAATGTGGTAAAGCCAAGAGTAAAGACTTTAGAACCTCCAGATATCCAAGGGGTGATATGAGCCCATGATAGAATGCCAAACAAGAGATCCACTAGCATGAATCCAAGTACACGTAATGCCACCTATTTTATTTTATTTTTTTTTTTTCAAGCTTCAATCTTTTATCGATTTGGAGTGCAACGCACAAAGTAGCGTGCTCCCTCAAGATTGAAAAGTAAAGAAAAAAAAATTAAATGTACCTCTTTTAGATTATTCATTCCTGATTTTTTGATAAAATCTTTTGATTAGTATCTGTTTAAAATTTAAAATCTATGTAATTTATTTTCACAAATTTATCATCGTATGTTTTGACATTTTACTTATGATGATGACACATGACACTTGGAGCTCTAGATATGCAATTGACTTAGACCTTTCTAGCTAATATGTTCTCATACATTAAGTATACAAAAAATAAATAAATAAAACTAAAACCATGTACTAAAAATTGCAACAAGTCCTATACAATTTGGAAGATTATTTTTTTCAATTGTAAATCCAAAGTGGCAAAAAACATGTTCAATTCCAGTTTCTTCAACTCCAACTTTCTGCCCTTCATCACCAAATTAACTAATAAGCTTCCTTCATTATATACTAGCAGTGTTTTTCAACTAGTTAATTGCTCCCGAATAAGCAAACCACCAAAAATTAGAACTAAAGAAAAAATGGTTTTGCCACCAAACAACACAATACATAATTTAGTAATTAACCCCTAATTACTCTTAGGAAGAAAATAAAGTAGAAACCCAGCAATTGCCGCACCTATGATTAAGTTTCCGATTGCTTCTGCTCCGGAAGCATCCCCGGAACTCTTCTTCTCAACAATTTCAACTTTTTCCAAAAAAAAAAAGTTTCTGAAAAATGAAGTCTTTACCCCTTTCTTTCTTTTTCTGCTCATCCTCTTTTGCCGTCCTTTGTCTCTTCACAACTTCTTTGAATTCTTTCATTCTCTGCTTTCTCTTTCCTTCCATCCAGTCCACCAAATATATTGCCGGGGGACCAATATCATACTTAATGATTCTTTCAAAATATCTATAATCTCCTTCATCTCTTCCCAGAAGTTAATAGCCCTTCCTTTAGCACAATTTTGAATTCTAGTTAGTGAATCCCGCATCAAGACTTTTCCTGGAAAACAAAAAGAACCCCCCATTTCAGAGGAAGATATCACATGATTAGAATGAAACCATAGAAAGAAAAATGAAGCCTTTGGAACCCAATACAAAAATATTGCCATAGGATTTTGGGAGGAGTTCAAAGAAAAGGATACCCCAGACTAGCACGGAAGAAGAGAAAGGAACAAGAACCTCTGAAAGTCCTTTCGAAAACTTTTGCGATAGAACCTTTACCCAGTTTAGCCATCAAACAACCCAATGTTGTCACTTTAGAGACCACCTTACGACTACAATGGGGATATTAATAAAGACTTTTTATGCAACAGCTAATATAGTTAGTTTAATGATTGATCAAGCAAATTAATTTTAACTTAATAAAAAAACCAATGGTGGAGTATGTAGCTAATGAACAAATGGAACAATCAATCTTCAAAATCAGTTAGGCCCTTATGAATTTGTTTGATCAATCTCCCATTCTGTTTCGAAACCACTTTTCACAATGTTTATAGGAGTAAATACTCTTTCAAATGTTGCAGTAGCCAAGGGTAAAACAAGTGCAAGTTTAATAAGTCTTTTTTTTTTCAACTCCTTCGGCTAATCTTGTGACCTTGATGCAGCTGAGAAATATACAATAACCAATCCTGAAGTTGATCAATCATAAATTCCTTAGTACGTTGATATGCTTATATTTTACCTATTTATTATATCCCTAATTTGTGATTTTTGCAATATATTTTGAGTACAAATATGCTATTTATGTGATTTTATCTTTAATTGTAGGAATTGTACTCAAATGAAGAATTGTTGAAGTTTTGAGCTAAAATCGAATTAAAA